TATGTGTGGCCACATGTGGATCACCTCGACGTCATGCACAACCGATGCTTTTAACTTATTTCAGCACAGGAGGAACTATCTACGTCTAGTATGACGTTAACTTAAACAATAAAACAAACCGCTCCAAAAAAAACCCATGAATATCCTGGTTTTGTTAGGTGTGTTAACGCCTCTCTCTTTTATATTTTTTCAAAGTAAATTGATTTTTAAAAAGCAAAAAAAAAGCACACAAAAAAACACGAACAACAACAATCACAACGAACCCCCCTCTCCCCCCCCCAAAAAAAAACACCCAAACCCCCCCCCCCAAAAAAAAAAACAACAACAAGTGAACCCAAAAAGGATAACTATTTCATAGAAAATCAAATGGTTACTGGGTGGTTGGTGGGTGCTCTGGTGTGGTCTGTTTTTTCTTTCCTATCAAACATCTTTCGTCCTTATCTCTATATATCCTTTTCATTGTATGTTACACTCTAGTGACACATCCAACCTTCTGCACTCATATCGTATGACCTGTGTGTGTTGCACAAATGCCTTCAGATTCTTACTAAAAACTTAAGCAAAAACTCGTGGTTACTCACCCCAGAGGGAGGATCCGAGCACAGGGCAGTGACTGTGAGCTGCTTGTTGGGACGTGTAGTAGAACAACACACTTCCCTGGAACACACGAAAGGGTGGGGGCAGTAGCAATACGTTACATATATACTTGTCCCCGTCGTTTTAAGCAAGAAGAATTCTGAAATTATGAAAACTGAGCCCAAAAATGTGAAATTATGCGATTCTGCTAATCTTTAACGAGGAATGATAAAGGAAAATAATCAGAAATTATGCCCAAAAAATGATCAAATTTTGCTAGATTATGCGGGGTGCATAAAACCACGGGGACAGATATATAGACCAGATTGATTACAGTATCACAGTTACCAAGTGACATATATGAAGCGCAAAGGCTACATTTTATTCCATATCATGTCGTCGTAATGTATAGAAAAAAGTATATCAAATTGCTTAAACAGTAGAGCTAAGCTTTAGTTGTTTTGCTCTCTATTCTAGGGGCTTAATCTTTACCTAAAAACATAGATGTGTATTATAATCATGCGTGTGTGTGCATAATGTCGAAATAAGAAATGCGTCCTAATCTCATGGAATAGTGAGGAATATTTTGGTGCAATATCCCCCCCCCCCCTCTCTCTCTCTCTCTCTCTCTATCTATCTATCTCTCTCTCTCTCTCTATCTCTCTCTCTCTATCTCTCTCTCTCTATCTATCTATCTCTCTCTCTCTCTCCTTCTCTTTCTCTCCCTCTCTCTCCTTCTCTTTCTCTCCCTCTCTCTCCCCTACTATTCCCTATGCTCCTTTCCCTCCCCTACCCCCCCTCTCTCTCTCTCTCTCTCTCTCTCTGTATCTCTCTCTCTCTCTCTCTCTCTGTATCTCTCTATCTCTCTCAATTTCAATGTTTTCCTTGTCCTGATCATTTATTGGCATTGTGCAAGACGAAATTAAGACCATTGTGAAGTCATACTGGGATCAAAGAGACAATAGACGGTTAATTAATTAACCCATGGTTGATTAGATTGATCCAGGCACGGAATCTGCATTGGCAATGAGAGCAGGGAGAAAGGGTAGGGTCTCCTCTATAGCCCGCGAATATAATACGCTTTTCATGGGCCGTTTTATAATGACGAGTGCAGTAGTTTTGTTGCGCTCTGCATAAATTGACAACAGAGTACACAGGCTTCCTTCAGGAAGTCAGTTGAAGTAGTGATAGTACATTTTAGTTTAGATCTTTTATTTTTTTAAATGATGAGTGCTGTAGTGTGTTGGTCGCTCTGCCAAAGCTGACTACAGAGTAAAGAGGTTTCTTCAGGAAGTCAGTTGAGGTACTAATACATTTTAGTTTGGATCATTCAGGAGGCGCAGAGCTTCGACCTTATATCATGGGGCCAACTCGGGCTGAGAGAGATACAATTAATTACCTTGTCCACACAGACAGGTGGTGGCCTAATACTCAATGAAAATAGACACTCCCCACAAGAGAATCAAGCTCACATCTGCGGGCGATGACGAAGAGCTTAACTATTACGCCAGACACCATAACTTAAAGGAAGCTCAACTGAACTATTATTAACGTGGTAATATAACCTGTCTTTACAGCACTATCTTTCTTCCCCATTATAAAAAGATTGCAGACATGGTCTCAGAGTTTCCTTAATTGGTATCTTGCTGGACAACGGAGCAAATGAACGAGGCGTTCTGAAATCAAGTTGTTTTGGAAAATTTAAAAGACTCCACACCCATTTGGCTTCATCCTATAGGAGATGGACGTTAAAATTGGAGGTTTCGCCGCTCAATTAACCTTACAGTACAGAAAAAGGCGTTAAACCTATACAATGAACAATGATCAACATGCAACCAGCACAGCTTTTCGTCTTACATGAACTGATGATGACTTTATCATCAAGGGAGAAAGAGAAGTTATAAATCTTGCTGGCAACCGTACGGTAAACAGATTCTGATAGATCTAGTAAAGTATAGAAAATGATAGCAATCAGTTTGTAATGACCACAAACGCTACAAATCGCCGCAGATAGCAATACCGTGTCCTTCCGAAAGTGAAGGGTTTATCTGCCTAAAGATATTATGGTTAGTTGATTAAATCGTCTTAAAGCTTCATTGGGACCTTCAAGTGCTATTCTTTTTTTTTTTAATAGAATTTTTCACAGAGCACTGTGGTCTGTAGGGTTAGTGTCAATGTCAGGATTTGTCTAGAATCTATCTCTATTTTCTTGCTTCTCTGGCTGCTTCTGCTTTATAATCCCTTGTTTTTCCCATACCTTGCCGCCACATGTCAAGTCTTTACGGTACTGTGGTTGGCCAGGACAGAGGGTTTACCACTTGTCCACAGCAATGGAGTAACCTTTCAGTGCAGTCAGTAAAGTACACCTTAACGAAAAAAAAGGGGGGCAGGGAGAGAGAGGGAGTGTGTGTGTGTGTGTGTGTGTGTGTGTGTGTGT